TATATATATATATATATATATATATGCTTACATTAAATAGCAACTGCAACTGAATCACGCCTGAGAGGCCGGGAGCCTGGTAGCTGCTTGGGCTTTGAGGCTGAGTGCCTCAGCAGTTGGAGTAACCCCACGGTGGCTTTCTCTCACTGTGGCAACATGGAAGATGCTCAGTCCATGGGGCTGGGTACCTCCGCCGTCCCAAGCTGACTCTGGAAGCCTGAAAGCTTCCGCAGTCCTTGACAGCAGACTGGGAACACTGCTTCTGATATCAGTGGAGGAATCAGCTGCAACAGCAACATATAAAGCAACTGAGCTAGAGGGAAGGCCAGTGAGCTGCAGGAGACACCTTCCCTCTGCAGGCCTTTTAAACTGGGCTGCTACCAGGAGGTGCCGCCCACAAACGGGGCGGGGCTTCCTGCATCAGATAAGGCAATGGGGACAGTTCTTCAGGAGAGGCTTCCTAATTTTTGACAAGTTGACAGCCAAATCAACCATAATAGGCTCCCTGAGATCCCATCTCAATGCAAAAACAATGAAATAATAATAAAAAAAAATCACGAGCCCAAATGTCCAACAGAAGGCACTGTCGAATGGACTTGGAGGAGGAGAAACACAGAGAAAGAACTGTGTGTGCCAACACGGGCTGGCAAGGGGGCCTGGGAGGGGAAACCTAAATGGCAAAAGCAGGTGCTGGTGTGGCCTAGCCAGCAGCACTCAGGAGGCTGAAGCAGGGGGATTGCAACCTGCCTGGACTACAAAGTGAAACTCTGTCTTTAAAGAGAAAGGGGCTGGGGTGGAGAGGAAGGGAAGGAGGGGGAAAGGGAGAGGGGAGGAAGAAGGAGAAGAGGAGAGGGAAGGGAAAGCAATAAAGAGGAGGAGGGGAGGAAGGGGAGGGGGAGAACGGAAGGAAGAAGAAGGGAGGAAGAGGAAGAAGAGGAGAAAGAGGAAAATCGAGAAGCAGACGGGATCTGGGGAGGAACAGCTCTGGGGCAGCAGGAGGGTCTGGTGACACAGGCTTGTAGTTTCAACAACTCAGGGGGGCTGGGAAGGAAGGAACACCGCCAGCTCAAGGGCAGTCTAGGCCACTTAGTGAGATCCTGTCTTGAAAAAAAAAATTTTTTTTAAGTAAAAAGAAAGCTGGAGATGTAGGTGATAGAGTGCTTGCCTAGCGTGGGTCAGGCCCTAGGTTGGATCCTCAGTATCAGAGAAGGGCAGGGGGCAAAGAAACTGCACACTGGAGCCTCCTGGGTGGAGACAGGCATGGACCCACAGTCAAATAATTATGACATGCCAAAAAATAACATTTTTATAAGAAGTGAGTGACAGAGACTGTCCTTGTTTAATACACTTAAACCCAACCAAACAGACCCTGTGCTGAGCACCCAGACATGCCAAGCCTTTAAACCCAACCAAACAGACCCTGTGCTGAGCACCCAGACATGCCAAGCCTTGGGTGGCTGCTGTGGGTTCCCAACAATGGACAGGCTGCTATCTTTTCCCAACAGGAGCCCAGGCCCCCCAGCCAGACAGAAGGATGGGGGCCTCAGGATTCCCACAGCCTCTCCCCTGCTGTGCACCCTAGCCTGGGAGCCTCTTTGAGGGGTGAGGAGTGACTAGCCTCTGTGGGTCCTGGTGACCACCCTGAGGTCTGAGCCAAAACCCCTAAAGCCTACCCTGCCTGGCTAGGCCTCTGCTCACTGTGCTTGGAGGAATAAGATGTCATCTTGTACAATCTGCCCTTTCTTCTCTGGCTATAGTGTGCACTGTGGCAGCCAAGGCAGCCATTACCATGAGGGGGAAAGAACAGTGAGCCCCAGAGTGATGGCGGTCTTGGTGGGCAGGCAAAGTCTCTAGGAAAGCAGCTGAAACCCACTGCAGTTGAGGGTCACCTCTGGCCATGCTGCCAGCCCTTCCCTGGTGGCAGCAGCCTGGACACACTTCTTTCCTGGCATTCAGAAATGTCCATGAGTTCCACATGAGGAAGAAATGAACATGTCACCCATTGTGTGTTTCCAACACCCTGAGAGCAGGGCTGTTCACTGTGGAGAAGCCCTGGCTGAGTGAGCGATGCTCCCTGCTCTGGCAAGCCTCCCCAGATCCTGGGGACAATCGAGGAGGAACAGGGTTATTCTAATACATACACCTGAGGAAACTGAACCACAACAGGCACAGAGCCAGCATTTTAAACATTTAAACCCAGGTATCCTAAAGCCACCTTTGAGGCTCTTCACATGCAAGGGAGTTCAAAGTTCAGTTAGTATGATCTGGAGTTTTACAAATGACAAAGACCAGAGGGAAAATGTACACAGTGTGCAAGAGCCAAAACCAGATCTCAACAGCTTAGGCCTCTGTCCCCAATTTAGAGCTTGTTCTTTCCTCTGCCAAGGGGCACAGCAAGGCAGGTTGGCTAACATCATCTGTCTTGCCCTACCTGCCTCTACTCTCCACAGTCCAGTAAACCAGTGGCTGTGAACTCAAGTGTCTCTAATGATAGGAAGATAAGCACCTTGTAAAGGAGGTAGGGCCCTGACTCCAGGCTAAGGCAGCAGACTGGCCATTGTGTTGAATAGGGAAGTCCCTGTCCTGCCTAAAGGCATCCAAATAAAATAAAGTTAAGTATGAATTCCAAAGCATACCACTAGGGTTTTGTGGAAGTAGGCACAGGAGAAACAAAAATTGTCACAAGTGAGCAATTATTATTTAGATAGTTGTTACTTATTTTTTTTTTTGAGATTATCTGTCTTCCAGGTTGGCCTCAAACTTGTAGCCATTGTCCTGCCTCAGGTCCCAAGTGCAGGGATTATTGGTGTGGGCCACCACACCAGCCTGAGCTGGTACCTGTTGATCTGGGTGTTAAGTAATGAGGTTACAGTCTCCTGTGTAAACACATATATGAAGGCTATGGGTACAGTTCAGTGGCAGAGCACTTGCCTAGCATGTGCAGGGCCCTGGAACTGAGCCCTGAGCACCAAAGAGAGTGGGGTGGGGAGAAAGACAGCCCAGGATGCAAATTTGTATGCTTTTAAATTTCTATAAAGACCACTTTTGGATTAGTTCATCATGTCATGGTCACAAGGGCACCAATTTGCAAACTGTACCCTTGACCTTCCTAAGTGGTCCTGGTGGTCCTTTGCCTTCATTCCACCTGTATCTGTATGGCCTGGAGCCAAAAAGATAAGAAGGGAAAAAGGGGATACTAGTTTGAGAAGGGATTGGAAGCTGGTGGCCATCACTCCCAAAAGGACAGGCTTTGGGGTGTGGATGGATCCCCAAGTGGACACACCACCTGCACACCTGCCAGCACAGTGAGAAGGCAGGCAGCTAGGCAGTGAGTGAGGTTTACGTCCCTCCTCTTCTCTGGCTATTCTTTGCCACAGTCCCTTCTGAAGCTCCACTGTCTTACCAGTCTCTAACGTGCCTCACACAGTTATTTAGCCTCCAGTACTTTCTGAGACACAGATGAGGAAACAGGCATCTCAAGATCACACTTCGTTTCCTGTGAGTCGAAGGAAGAGCTGAGAGGGGTGGTGTGGGGTGGGGTGGGGTGGGGTGGGGGGGGGG